CCGAAAATTAGCAGTTCGCCCTGTTAATCCGCCAGGGCCCAAATAACTCAATTTTCTCCCATGAACGATTTGTGTCAATGGATTAGTTCGATCCAAAACTTGAGATAATGGGTGTAATCCGAAAAAGGATTCATAAGTAGTTGTTAACGGAGTTGAAGTTACCAAATTCTGAGGAGTAGGTATCAATTTATGCCTAATTGCTCCGGAGATAGTTCCCTTAACTACATTTTCTAAACGAGCCAGAGCCAACCCAAGCTGGTCTTGTAAAAGATCCGCTACAGAGCGAATACGTTTATTTTTCAAATGATTCATATCATCAAGTGTACCCATTCCAAATTTCATCCCAATCAAATGATCGGCAGCTGCTAATATATCTCGTGGTAACAAAAATATATTGTTCTGAGGTATATTAAGATTTAGTCTCCAATTAATATTTCGGCGACCAATCCTTCCTAATTCACACCTTTGGTGAAAGAATTTTTTTTGTAATTCCTTACATAAGGATTCAGAAAATATTGGATCCCCACCTACACAAGAAAATTGTTGATAAAACTCCAAAATAGCATTTTCTTTTGACCCTATTTTTTTTTTCTCCTTATCGGTCAAGAAAGATAAGAAAATTTCAGGGTAGCAAACATTCTCTAGAATTTCTCGTAGATTCAAACCCATAGCTGATGATAGAACTAGAATAGATATTTTTTGTTTCCTACTCACCCGAGCCCATATTCTTGCTTTTTTATCAATCTCTAATTCTAACCTGCCTCCCCAATCTGATATTATGGTGCCGGTATAGACCGAAATCCCATTATGATCCAATTCTGACTGGTAATAGATACCGGGACTTTGCAATATTTGATTGATCACAATTCTGTAAATTCCGTTTACTATAGAAGTTCCAAGGGAATTCATTAAAGGAATGTTTCCAATAAAAATTATTTGTTCTTGCATATTCCTACTGGTTTTCCAAATTAATCCCGCGGATACATATAATTCAGAAGAATATGTAAGTGATTCATAGACAGCATCTCGTTCTTTTATCAGAGGTTCTACCAATTGATATGTTTCCACAAATAATTGAAATTCAATTTCGTGATCTATATCTTCAATTTTTGGAAACTTAGAAAGTTCTTCTATTAAACCCTGATCAATAAACCGATAAAACCCTTCAAATTGTATCTGATTAAATCCGGGTATTGTAGATGTTCCCTCTTTTTCATCCCCAAGCATCTTTTTTGAATTTCCCATTTATCCGTTTATTGAAAAAATCCCATCCCATCTCTCATTCTTCACCGAATCATATCCATAGAATTCGATCTAGCAATAATGGAATTTCTATTCTGTTTACTGAATCACATGAAATTTTATCCAACTCCAAGATATATGGAATGTATGAAATACGTATGAACGGAGACTATATTCAATTGGAATTTTTTATAAGAAATAGATCCAAATGGAACAGAATTGAGAAATACCACTGAAACTTACGGAGTTTTGTAAAGACTAGAAAAAAAAAAGTAATTTCATTTTCACCTATGATATTACATATTCCAATTCGATTGCATACCATAAAAAATGTATTCATCATTGGATCTGTTCAAGCAGATAAACATCTAATAAATAGAAAACTTTTTTTTTAACCACTTTACTTTTTCATGTATTTGTATTTCATTGTTCAAAAAAATATTTGCAGAAAAGAGATTTATTTTTACCTATTTTTAATAGAATAGTTAGAATATCATTGAATTGAAGTAGGTAAGAAAACTTGTGTTTTTTTATTTATTAATTTTTTTATTATTAAAATAAAAAAGAATGCACAGATATATATGTCTCTTTTTCTTCTTTTATTGTGGTACAGTTCTATTTGGGACAGCGCATGCTGTGCTCTATCAAAAAGGAAATGTTCTCTTCAAGGGAAAAGTTGAAATATAAAAATTTATTGAGAATTACTCCTCAAAAGCATCCCTAGAGAGATAAAATACCCCATTATAGAGCTCCAGCTCTATAACACAACGTAACGTATGTTCTGATTCTGGGGTTTACATATACTCATCATTACTGTTATAATTGAAATTGAAGAAGATTTATTTTTAATTCAAAAAAACTCAATATAGATTAGTTATAAATGCATTTCTAATGATTTTCTTAATATTATTAGAAATAAAAAAATGTAGATTTTAATTTTAATTCAAAAATGGTCATGAATTTACAGTCAATAGTTAATGGTTCTGGTTTGTACTAGATTCTATATTTTATGACTGAAAATCTATATATATTTTTTTTTCGGAGTTGAAAAAAAAGAAAATTGGAATCTAGTTTCTATCGTTTTGGCGGCATGGCCGAGTGGTAAGGCGGGGGACTGCAAATCCTTTTTCCCCAGTTCAAATCCGGGTGCCGCCTCAACAACAGACTTTAAATAACAAACGTAGGAAAACGTAGGATAAGACTCTTTATACTTTCTTTTCGTTATTCTAAGCCCCTGGCTCTCGAGGTTCTATTCTCTAACCTAAAGTTTTGCCTATCAGATTCAAGGAAAACTTGAAGTAGTGGAGGGAAATCTGTAAATCTTTACTTGCCACTACTAATTTAGTTCCACTTACTGAGTCTTCAATTAGATTGGATAGCCAGAGAGGGAATTAAATTAATAGTTTTGGAAAGGACCTAAGATACTTTGGATATAGACTCATGAAAGTCTCGGAATGCTCAGACATTCAATCAAGATTAGATTAGATGAAGAATTGTCTTTCATTTTACTTCCAAAAATAAAAAACGATAAAAGAAAGAAAAAGTCTTCTTCTTTCTACATGTGAGTCAGATTCCTTGGATACTTCTAAAAATGTCCGTTTGCTTGTGTTTACATCTTGTCGATTCTACTAGAAATTCTATAATAAGAAAAATAATAACTCATTATAAGTTATAAGATAAGTGGGTTTTTGGAGTAGTTCATCAATGGTGACCAAATACCTCTCCCTTTTTTTTGACTCTGCACCAGTGATTTCACTATTATTAGTGAACAATAATGGAATAGTTTCTTCATATTCATAGAAATAGGGGGCAGAATTCACATGGATATAGTAAGTCTCGCATGGGCTGCTTTAATGGTAGTTTTTACATTTTCCCTCTCTCTCGTAGTGTGGGGAAGAAGTGGACTCTAGAAATACTTCTAATTGCGGTAATAATCAAACTCTATCAACCTGTATCAATTGTTTTCGTTTTCTAGACCGTTCGGCAATTTTTTTTAAGATTTTTTTTTATAAATTGGATTTATGTTTTATTGACTCATTTTCTATTTTTATATCAGGGTTTACACGGTTAACCATTCATGGGGTAACCCCTTTCGAAATCTGAAGAAGCTTCCATCGAATTGGGATTATCTGTATTAAATGGATCAAACAAACAAATGAAATTGACAAAGTATGTACATACATTTCATATTCTATTTCATTTATATTGACGTTTATAAATAAAAAGAGAGATATAGGCGGATTCTTTTATATTAAGATATTTCACTTGTATCTTTATACATTACAATAACCATAATGGCTAGTATGGTAGAAAGAGATCTCCTTCTACCATACTAGCGGACCCCTTAGGATACTACTACTGAGTCTAATGCATTCCTTTCATTTAAGACGAGAAATTGAAATCTTTTTTTTTTTTCATTGATAGTAAAATTAGATTCAAATTAATCATTTTGACTAATGGTTTTTACGTAAATTATAAGCAAAAAAGCAGTAGGAACGAGAATGAAGAGTGCGGTAGCAATAAATGCAAGAATATTTACTTCCATAATTTAATCGTTTATTATTATTATTTTTTTTTTTTAATATCTCGGGATTTAATCCCATAGAGATGAGAAATCTTTCGCTTGTAAACTCACTCAGATGAATTAGATTTCGATGATATCGAATGAAAGAAATATCATGAATAACAATATCGGAGCTATAAAATCGATTCATCGTCAAGAATTTAATAGTATAACATAGGAAGATCTTTTATCCACACCGAATACATAATGAGATTCCTGATCCAATAAAAAAAAAGTTATTTATGATTCTTTTTACCGGCTTTCCTTTCTAAAACCTAGTAGTTTACTTTCCTTGTACAATAATCTGATGAAGTATCATAAAAAACTTCGATTCTTTACAAAAAGAGTTTCTAAAGAACCTTAAATAAACAATAGAAATCAATATAGAGAAAACAAGTACGAAGTTCACTTTGAAATAAAAAAATTGAAAGGGTTTATCATCTTTTTGGAAAACAAAGAAAGGGAATGTGACAAAGACGAGTCCCAGTAAAAAACAAAAATATTCAAAAAAATTAACTCGTTAATTTTTCTTACGAGTTTTTTATTCGACATCGCCTCTAATCTTTAAAAAGAGCATATTCACATATTCATTAGGGAAGACACGTTTTATCTTTATAAAAAAAACCTCTTTCCTTGGTTGGATTCGAACTATTTAAAATTCCTTTACTTCAGAGAAAGAAAAGTATATATAGGTACTCTTGGCAAATGTATTATACGCTATCCTATTCCATTTTCCTACACAAATTTATGGGAGAGCGGTTGACAAAAAGCGGAAACCCCTTACAGTATCTCTTTCTTGAAGTGTTGAATGTTCTCAATAATTCATTTACATATGTCTCTCTACCCTAGTTAAAATAATCGACCCTTTCTTTTGCTTTATGAAAAAAGAAAAATAAAATAAAAAGATAAACGAAACTATTTTCATCCCCTTGCCCAGAAACAAAAAGGGGAGTTGATGTATTGAATCCGCCGGGACTGACGGGGCTCGAACCCGCAGCTTCCGCCTTGACAGGGCGGTGCTCTGACCAATTGAACTACAATCCCATGGAAATCAAGTGGGTAGCTTACATATTCCTTCTTATGATTTCATTTTAATCATTTCAATTTTAAAATCAAATTTTTGTTTTGTAACAAAGAAAGTCACAAGTGATATATTGATATCTATATGGATATCACTTTAGTGAGAACAAGACGG